ATATATTTGGTGGGGAAATTGTCAAATATTATTTGGCCATATAAGTTGTTATTTGGTAAATATCTTTAGCGAACAATCCAAATTTCCAAATACCAAGGAAAAAAAAAATAGAATATGGGCATATTATATTATTTAAGAACTTTTTTAAAATTATCCTCAGTTTTTATGTTTTATAAAACACTCATTGTTTATAGTTGTGGATTGAATTTCAATCTAGTTTGCTGAACAAAATTTATACAATTATATATAGAATTTATGCAGTTTTTATCGAGTTTAATCTCCAAAGTAACTTCCATTAGAAGAAGTAATAGTAGTTTTTCATATACAAATGAATGGTATTTTTTATTTATTTTTAGATTCATATTTAATTGTGTTTGGTGTCATAACTTTTCACGGAACCGTTCATTATATAATGATAATATAAACTTATGGATATTTTTAATAGTTTTTAGAACTTATGGGTATAAATCATATATTTTTTTTTAAAAGTCAAATATTTCTCTCAAAACCTATGGTCCAACGTATGGTAAAACTTCACTCGAAAATAACTTTCCAAAAATATTTGGAAAACTATGGTCATTCTAGCTTAACTTTTCAGATTCCTCGTGGGAGGCTAATTTTGTATTTAGGCATGTGATATAAAGTCATGATCTTAAATCAACATTTGGATATGTGATACGGAATTATGCTTTCAATTTCCAAATTCTCCCAAAAAAGTGATTTGAGATTCTAAATTTTGATTATAAAATGTTTTAATGTAAAACTTGACCATATGTTTAATTTTGTAAGAAAAAATAAAGATCTATCATTTCAAATTTTACAACAAAGGTTCATGTCCGACAAAGAGATTGTTCGTACATATAAAGATATTATATCAAACACATAATTTATAGGATCATTTTATTCAATTCATTAATCTACTTGCGCAATCACATATTTCAAACAATAATCACATTATATAAAATCACAATCATCATTGTGCCTTGTTACGAATAGGGATGTGTACTATTTGGATTACATCGAAAAACCAAATCAAACCGAATTCTAATTTGGATTGGTTTTTTGGATTTTTGGTTTGGTTTTGGATTTATCATTTACTTTGTTTGATTTTTTGGTTTGGTTTCAAATTTAGAAAAATGAAAACCGAAAAAATTGAATTATATTATATATATATGTTTAGAATTAAGTTGGAGTTAACCACTTTTGTCCCTTTTTAGTTATTTTCATTATGATTAGTTTTTTTTTTTTTTATGTTTGGACATCTATAATTGATATACTTTTAAGTATTGTGTTATACGTTTTACTTGTGATTTATATTAAAAAGTATATTTAAGAATTCAATATATATATATATAATTATTTTTAAATTGCAAATATAACCTTGCTATGTTTCTAATTATTGATATAACCGATTAACCAAATCGAAAAAATCCAAACCAAATTTATTTTGGTTCGGATTGGGTTACACTTCTTCAAAATCAAAAACCGAAAAATCCAAACCGAATAGTATAAAATCGAATGCACACCCCTAGTTACGAAAGATCGTTCCCAATAATTTGTCATAATAAACCAACTACATTTAAAAAAATGCAAAAGTACTCATTACCCCCTAAACTTGAAGCTTTTTATTTAGTATACACCTAAATTAAATTCCGTTTTAATTACCCCCCCCCCCCTAACTTGTTTATTCCTCCGTCTCGTACACCTTTATTGTCTGATCACTCCAATCATGTCTACATGCGCATGACACCTAGATAAATATTAGCCACCTGGATAAATATTAGCCACCTAGATAATTAAATGTCAAACCTTCTCAGATTAAAACTTCCGGACTAAGCTTCTCACTAAGCTGTAACAAATGTGTAGGGTAAGAAGTCTAATGGACGGACAACGACATATTTTAAACTTTTGGCTCTCTAAGAAATGTAATCGACGGAGTAAAGGGTAGATTTCACGGAACTCTTTCTGGATTTGGGTCAGTTGCAGTTCTTAGACGTGAAGGCTTGCTTGATTTCGTGAAGCGTTTGGTCGATTTTCTTTCGACCTTGTCTGAAATTGTTACCAAGTAAGTGATTATCCACTCTTATGATGTGTTATTGTTTGTTTCCTTTACTTTTTCATTTATATTTTGCCCTATTTTTCGTTTAAGATTTCGTCGTAATTTGACTAGGGCTTCGCCATAGTTTCCGATTGAGTTTCCAATTAGGGGTTTGATAGTTTTCAACTAGAATTTTCAGTTAATGAATGTATTATTATGAAGTTGTTCAACTTATGTATGCATGCGTATTAGGGTTTCTGTTAATTAGTTAAAAAAAATTAGGGCTTTTTAGTCAAATTTAGATTCTAGGGTTTTTTATTTCAATATTATATTTTGGTAGTGTTAAATGGTGGAGTATTTTGTAATTTCCTTATGTATATTTGTATGATGTTGAGTAATATGGCTACTAAGTACCAATTATGTTTTTGTACTGTTTATTATAATTTCCTTGTATAATTGTATGCTTATGAGTTAAATTTGGTTTTGTTGCTTCTGTTTTGGTGTTGTTGTCTATGTTTTGGTGTTGTTGCCTCTATTTTGGTGTTATTGTATATTTTTTGGTGTTGTTGCCTCTGTTTTGTTGTTGTTGCCTTGTACAATATATTGATTGTTAATGTGGTTATAGGTTGACACTATGGCTACTAAGTACCTCAATTTAAGGTTCAAATTTGGGGGTATCTTGGTGAGTGAGGTAGGTCCAGTATATGTTAGGGGTAGGACTGAATGTGTAGAGAATGTGGATGAAGATCATTTGTCAATTCCTGAACTTGCAAATTATGCTGAGTCTTTGGGAATTAGTAAGTTAGGAAAAACTTATGCTAAGTCTCCAGGGGTGATCTGGTGGAATTGAAAAATGACATGGACATTTGTAACATTGCATTATTTATGCATGATGGGGACACAATAGATATTTATGTGTGTGATGACACTATTCTGGAGGATGTGGGTCCCAGTGAAGGTCAAATTAGTCAATCTTTAAGTCAAGTGGTTGAGTCTTTTAATGCACATGGGGAATCTGATGGTTCTTTAACTGCACAGCCAAAAAAACTAGATCTAGGGTTAGGTTCCTCTTCTTCCTTTCCATCTAGTGAAATAGTTGAGAATGACGGGGTTGCAAGGGTCCAACAAGAAACTGATGATGATTATTCTTCAATAAATTGGATTGATACTGAAGAAGAAGGTGAACCTACTGTCCAACAAGGAACTGAACCTTCTATTCAAGAAGAAGTTGAACCAAGTGCCCAAGAAAATGCAGATGAAGACATAGACAGTGATTTTATTTGTTCTGACCAGTCTATTGACTATGGAAGTGATGTGCATGAGGAGTTGAGGATTGTTAAGGAAGATGTGAGAAAGTTTAAAGAAAGTAAGAGGAGAAAGAATAAGTAAAAACAAAAGGTTTTTTAGGTGAAGTTGGACTTGATGAAGGGTATGAGGATATTGCAAAAGGCAAAAAAAAATTCAAGGGTAAGCTAACAGAGGATGAGCCATACTATGACAGTTCTGATCGTGATAGTTTTCAAAGTGATGAAGAAGAACCTGTTTCTAATGATGAACTTAAAGGAGGGAGTTTAAGGGGGGAGAAATAAGAGTAATAGAGTGATATATGATTTTATTTGTGATGTTGTAACATGGCAATGTGGTTTGGTATTTGAAAGTGTACAGGAATTTAGAGAGGCAGTTACAAAATATGCTATAAAAAAAGGAGTTGAGTTAGACAAGTATGTGAATGAGAGTACTAGAGTAAGAGTCAAGTGTAAAAGTGATTGTCCATGGCTGTTGTATGCAAGCAAGGAAGGGAGGAGTGAGAACTTCACTATCAAGACATACAACCCAAGGCACATATGTACCAGGACCACTAATAATATTTTGTGTAATTCAAATTTTTTATGTAAGTATCTGAAAGATATGATTATTTCTCAACCTAGTATAAAAAGGTGGGAAATACAAGATTTGGTTAGGAAAGAGTTGAATGTTCATGTAGGCAAAGCAGTTTGTTTTAAAACAAGAAAAAAATATTTTAAAGGAAATATAGGGGATCATATGGCAGAATTTAGCAGAATCCTAGGCTACATGGATGTGTTACTTCAAACAAATCCTAGTAGCACTTGTATTGTGAAGCTTAAAGATTCAGAATCAGAAAATGGGATGAAACAGTTTCACTCTTTTTATATATGTTTTGATGCTATGAAAAAGGGTTTCTAACAAGGATGCAGAAGATGTATAGGGCTGGATGGGTGTTTTCTAAAAGTAATTTGTAAGGGTCAACTTTTGGTAACTGTTGCTAAGGATAAAAACAACCAAATGTATCCAATAGCATGGGCAGTAATTGGTACTGAAAGCAAGTTGACATGGAAATGGTTCATGACCATTCTGCAAGATGATCTTAATCTAGGAGATGGTTCCCAGCTCACTATCATTAGTGATATGCAAAAGATAACTGAATTTATTTTTATATTTATCTTTAATTTAATTTGATCAAAAACTATCTTTATTATTTTGCTTTGCAACTACAGGGACTAATAGCTACTGTAGATGAACTATTTCCAAAATGTGAGCACAGAATCTGTGCTAGACACATATTAGCAAATTGGTCACAAAACTTCAGAGGCATAGAGAGAAGGAATAAATTTTGGGCTTGTGCTAGATCAACATTTAAGGCACAATTTAAGTATAATATAAATGCCCTATTCAAGCTGGGAAAAGGTATAGTTAAAGCCCTTATCAAATACAATAAGGAGAAATGGTGCAAAGCTTTTTTTCGAACTTTTTCAAAATGTGATAGTATAAATAACAACATGGCAGAGAGTTTCAATGCTTGGATCTTGGGACCTAGGAACAAGACTATTGTAACTATGTTGGAAGAAATTAGAGTTAAGATGATGAATAGGGTGAGTAAGTCAAGAGCATTTGCTGAAACATGGACAGATGGAATATCTCCAATGGAAATGATGGTATTCAATACCAATGTAGCAAGATCAATGCAGTGCAACATTGAATGGAATGGTGATGATGGATTTGAAGTGTTAGAAGGGGTATACAAGCATACTGTGAACTTGGGTCAATAGAAATGTAGTTGCAGATCTTGGGAATTAAAAGGTATCCCATGTGCACATGGTATAGCAGCAATGAACCACTTGAACATGGATGCATCACAAGCAATTTCAAGCTGGTATAGAAAAGAGACATATCTGAAGACATATTCTCATTTCATTCAACCAGTCCCAAACATGGAAATGTGGCCTGAAAGCAGAAACCTAATGGTTGAACCACCTGAGGCAAGGCAAATGTCTAGTAGGCCACCAAAGAACAGAAGAAGAGAAATTGGTGAAGTGAGAAAAGCTGGGAAGTTGCCAAGAATGGGGACAGTAATGACATGTTCAATTTGCAAAGGAGCAAATCATAACAAGAGAAATTGTCCAAAAAATTCTAAACCTAAGTCTACACCAACACCCACTCAAGAGGTACATTCACATTAATTTGGTTTTATAAATTAGATTAGGTTACTTATTAATTTAGTCTCTTGTTGTATTCTTTTTCTACTCATATTAGTCCACCACTGGAAAAAAGAGGGGTAGAGGTCAATATGAAAGAGCAAGCAACAACAAGACTGGTACACAAAGAGGTGCAGGAAGTGGTTACAAGAAGATGCCAAAAGTGGTTGGACAAGGTGTATTTGTTGTTGATACTGGATATACATGTATTAATGTAAGTGTCTTATAAAACTGTTAAAATTATATTTAAAAATGTGAGACCCAAAATAACTATGTTTTTAATATTGCAGCAATGATTGTCTAGCAGTAGGAGGGTTAATACTGGTGTGCTGAGTTTTGTGCATGTGACAGGTGATATTGATTTTTAACCTACCAAGGGACTGAAGTGGAAAGGTAAACATGACATGACTCAAAGAGAACTTCAAGTCCAAAGTGTTATGCGTCGTATTCAAACCAGATCAAAAGTTGTTGGAATTCAAACAAGGGCACAAGCCAAGGAAAAATCACCCTCAAAGAAAACTTCTTAGTTGTGTGGTTGTAACAACCAAACTTAAATTAGTGACTGTTTTGTATTTTGTGCTTGTGTGGTTGTTCAACAAAACTTAAAGTAGTGTTTGTTTTGTGTTTTGGTGCTTGTGTGGTTGTTCAACCAAACTTGAAGTAGTGACTGTTTTTTGTTTTGGTGGTTAACTTAAGTTATTGTGGTTGTTGGTTGAAACAATGAAACACTATGATATTTGTGTTTGATGATCAAGAAAGCACTAGTTATGTTATGCCTTTATGTTAGGGTGTCTTTATGTTATTATTTCGTGTTTTGTTATCATATTACAATTACATGTAACTGTAGTTTTATGAAAAAAGGACAAGTCAATTGAACATACACAAAGATATATATATAAAAAACTTTAATCAGCAGAAACATACATCACTAAAACACCAAACCAAACTAATCCACAAAATGAAAACCCTAGAACCAAAAGACCTTGCGTTAATAACAATTGCATTCACAAAAAACATTCCAACGACACACTAAATAAAAGAATAATATCACATTACATATCAAACTAATGCCCAAAATCAGTTTCAACATCCTTTTACACTTCAATTGTTTTTCTTGTTTGTTGGTCTTCTTCAACAGACCCAAAATCACAGTATTCGCTTGGCTAGGAAATTCTGGATCATACCAATCGAAAAACTTACAAGGATTTCGAAATGAGGACTGCATTTTATAAAATCAAAGTTAAAAAAATTACATAATACAAACTTGACAAATAAAAAGCAAAAAGATATGAAATAATACATACCCCATAGTGTCTACAACCGAGAAATCTACGTCCGGGATTGTCATTTGTCCATGAAATTTTCAGAATCGGAGGAGTCCCACATAAGCAAACAAGTCTCCTATTATAATTCATAAATTTAGCAATAGCAATTAAAACAAAAAAGAGAAAAAAAATTGAAATTTGAAATGGGAGAAATTTGAAACGGGAGAAGGGATTAGGGAGAATAAATAGTTAGAGAATAGAGAGAAAAATCTTTAAAATATGCCAAATATTAAAGAAAAATGGAGATTTTACATTTTTTACCGTTGTAGCTTTATGATGTGGCAAAAAATCACTTCATCACGCGCCTAGTAGAGTGTGTTGTCAATTTCTACGCAAGGTGAACAATAAAGGTGTACCCAACGGAGGAATAAATAAGTTCGGAATGGTAATTAAAACGGAATTTAGTTTAGGTGTACACCGAATAAAAAGTTTTAAGTTCAGGGGGGTAGTGAGTACTTTCGCCAAATAAAAAACATGTAACATGTAAGTCAAATGGCAAGTAGACTTTGCTAGTCCATGGATTTTTGGTGATTCGAGATTCTGGCTTTTTTTTGGTCGAAAGTTTTTATGGACGTCCGTTAAGACCTTATTAATGGCACCAGTTGATCCCAAGGGGTAAACATGTGCATTTTCAAGTTCAAACGAGGCCCAAAACAAACACTTGACACATAGAAAATAATTCACCAAACCAACATGTATAATCACAACATGTTAAACCATATCAGATAACAGGTTATGTATCCACCAATTGTTAGTCAATTTGTGTTTAAAACAGTAGTACTAATTACAACATACTTTGCAGAAACACGACGTTACCAAAGTTTAATGAACCAGTGAAGAACATAAATTAATTCACAAAACTAAAATCCGTAAAAATGTATGTCCTCCCAGGATAGAATGATTTCAATCACCAGTGTATTGATACCCAAAACGTTGGTGTCAGCGAGTCACTCAACGACAGTAAAGTACATGAAGAAAATTTGTATAAAAGAAGAAAAAGAAATCAAATATTTTTGTAAGTCAAAATTCTGAAGAATTACGGGTATTTATAGCCAAGAGGAACTGATTTCGAAAGGTTGCAACCTTTCAGAATCCACACGATCATTCATGAAAGTTTCCAATCTTTCAAACGGTCATGGTTGTTCCTGAAAGTTGAAACCTTTCAGAACAGTCATCTCCAATGGCGGAAAATTCAAATAAAATGGGAAAGTATTTTAAATAAAACGGGTCGCACGGATCCGAGTCGGGTCGGAACGTTTTGGTTAATTAACTAAATAATTGAAACGTGTTTGACCATTTAATTTAATTTAATTAATTAAATAAATAATTAAAACAAAACTTTATCCAAAAAAATAATCTCTCAATCGATTATTTTCCAAAGCCAAACCGAAGCCGAGCGAGCGACGATGACGGCGCGAGGGGGGTCCCTCTTTCAAACCCTCTTAACAACTAATAAAAGTGTTTCTCTATTTAAACACTTCTATTTTTCTTTCCACCACCAATGAGGGAGAAATTCCTTTTCTTAAAGCATAAGAGAATCGTTTCCAATTCATTTTTTTCATCTTCCCTCCATTTCCCATTAAATCTTGTACCCAACAATCCTCCACATTAATGGGGAATGGTTATAACATAAAGGAATGCACAGACGAGTGTGTACTTTACAAGCACAGATCAATTGCATCTGGATAAGTAGGTTTTCCCTTAGACTTTTCATAGTGAACATATGTCGGATATACTCAGTCAATCGGTAGATGCGATATCTTTGAAACATTGAGCTTTGGTGTATACCTAGACAACCATATGTCACACAATTAACCCTTTACCGTTTATGATTTTAACGGTTGTGTTTGTTTCAGCCATGAACACCTCATCGTTTCATGAGTGTATAGAGAATAGGCTTTTGACAAAAAAAACTCTTTGAAGCGGCTTACACTTCACACTCACATAGGTGATTTCTAACCGTGTCATCGCGTAGATACACTATTTGGTCAAATCTGCCAAACTTAGCAAATCATTAAAAGCTTTAAGCTTTATTAACTCATTAACAAGCCTTAATGTTTTAACCTTGTTCCTGAACATTGTCTTCATCATGAGAATGGATTGAGTTAATTGACAATGTCGAACCGTCAGTCACAACTTTGTTTTTCTCCTTGAATCTAGCTCTTGGGATCTCTAGTCTGTAGATAGAGTTACCACCATGATGCTTGTCCTAAGTCGTAAACTCATTCCCTTATATGATCTTTCAATTGCCTCTCTCACTAGGTCTTTTGTTAGTGGATCTGACACATTATCACTTGACTTCACATAGTCAATTGTAATGATTCCACTAAAGAGCAGTTGTCTTACGGTGTTATGTCTCTGTCGTGTATGACGAGACTTCCCATTGTACATGATGCTCCATGCCCTACCTATTGCTTCTTGACTATCACAATGTATGCAAATAGGTCCCACAGGTTTAGGCTAGAATGGAATATCCTCTATGAAATTTCGGAGCCATTCAACTTCTTCACCTGCCTTATCTAAAGCAATAAATTCAAATTTCATTGTGGAGCGAGTGATACATGTCTGTTTGGATGATTTCCAAGAGATTGCTCCCCCAACAAGTGTAAACACATAATCACTTGTGGATTTTACTTCATTTGACCCGGTGATCCAATTTGCATCACTATATCTTTCAATCATGGTAGGATATTTATTACAATGTAAAGGATAGTGTTGTGTATGATTTAGATACCCCAACACAAGTTTCATTTCCATCCGGTGAGTTTGATTAGGATTACTAGTGAACCGACTCAGTTTGCTAATAGCACATGTTATATCTGGTCACGTACAATTCATAATATACATCAAACTTCCCAACACTCTGACATCCAATTGGAGTTTGATAACGTTGAAATTCAAGTACTTGAACTTATATAATACTATTTCAATATAATGAGATTGAGATAATGCTAGTCCCTGAGGAGTTTTGAGAATCCTGATCCCTAAGATCAAGTCAGCAGCTCGTAAGTCCTTCATATTGAACTTGCTGGACAACATGCACTTAGTAGTATTTATATCGTCAATATCTTTACTCATTATTAACATGACATCAACATACAAACAAATAATGACTTCATGATTTGGAACGTTTTTAATGTAAACATACTTATCACATTCGTTAATCTTGAATCCATTTGCCAACATTGTTTGGTCAAATTTAGCATGCCATTGTTTGGGTGCTTGCTTGAGCCCATAAAGCGACTTCACAAGTCTGCACACTTTTTCTTCTGTACCAGGAACCACAAACCCTTCAGATTGTTCCATGTAAATTTCTCCCTTCAACTCTCCATTTAAGAAGGCTGTCTTTACATCCATTTGGTAAATTTTAAGATCATGCACTGCCACTAACATCCTAATTGATGTTATCCTTGTTACTGGAGAGTATGTATCAAAGTAGTCCAGGCCTTCCTTTTGTCTGTATCCTTTGATTAAAAGTCTAGCCTTATATTTGTCAATAGTCCCATCAACTTTCATTTTCCTTTTAAAGATCCACTTTGATCATAAATGTTTATTTCCTAGAGGAAGATCAGCCAATTCCCAAGTATGGTTACTTAAAATTGATTCGATCTCATTATTGACTGCTTCTTTCCAATAAATTGACTCAGACGAAGGCATAGCTGCTTTTTGTGACCAACAAGGCCTGTCAGGATAGAATGATCACAATCACTAGTGTATATATACCCAAAACTATGGTGTTAGCGAGCCACTCAACGGCAATAAAGTACACGAAGAAAATTTGTGAAGAAGAAGAAGAGGAAAAAGAAATCAAAAATTTTTGTAAGTCAAAAGTCTAAAAAATTACGGGTATTTATAGCCAAGAGGAACTGATTTCAAAAGGTTGCAACTT